GTGATGAACATGTCTTTCAACAAAAAGCTGTGGATTCCTCCTTTCACCACGTCGCCTTCTAAGCCTGGCACGACCATCGTGCATGCCTAAACAAAATCGAGACTCGTCACTAAAGACAATACTGTTCCATTCCTGATCCCAGAGTGACCGTTGTCTGCACCACTCAAGGCGATTACGTCGGTGTTCTCGAGTTAAAGGGAGGACCCAGTGTGGCCGGTATGAAAACAAGCCAAATCTTCTCATTCGTCGGTAAACACTTCGCATGCCAATAGGTCTTCCGTGTTCTGCAAACCATTCATTTGCAATGGACTTGGTGGTGGAGAAACGGTCCCTTAAGGCCAATAATCTTAGGCGGCGATCTTCACGGTCTGTTGGTCTACGGCGGCGTCCAGTGCCCTTTGCTCTTTGCGTACGGCCTTCTCGAAGCCATGCCTGACAACACCTAACCACAGTGTCTACACTTCTTTGCACTCTAACTGCAATTGCCCGAAAAGAAAGTCCAGCTTCCCGAAATCGCACTATACGGCCCCTATCAAACTCACTAAGTTGACGAAATCGTACAGGTCTCCGTACTCTAGGCATCGTAACCGATCGTAAAGGATGTCAAGAACCAAAATCTGCCAACGTTGATTCTTTACTGCGGCTGAAATATTCATTTTTAGAGCATTAGTGAATTAAAAAAAAGCAGTATAAAAACCGGAATGTCCAACTGATAAGGCTGAAAAATTTTTCACTTGTTATTTACAGTAAGATAAATACATTCACCAACTTTTATTAAAATAAAACCATTTAAACTGGGTGTTCGGATTTATATGTCACTTAGTATATCTCCCTCCTAGTGCACATATCCGCATGAATGGGTGGATTGATTTGCTATCTCCTTTCGGTCAGTACGCAGTTATAGGGGGCGATTTCAATGCCCACCCTAGTTTGTGGGGCTTTTTCTAGCAGGACCGTAATGGGTTCTCACTTGTGGTAGCACAAAACTCAATAGAGTTCGTATTGATGAATGATGGGTCATCTACTAGATTGCATAACAATGGTCCAACTTCAGTTGAAAAATATCAGTTTTTTAATAAAGGCATTAATGAGTCCGCCTGTAGCTCAATCCCTCGATATAAGCCCTTCACAAGACAAAATTAGACACCTGCTCCTTGGTGGAATCGAGAATGCGATGAAGTAATTAATAAACGAAAAAAGGTCCTTGCACAGTACAAGCAGATATCCAGCGACGTCAACTACATTGCTTGTAAGAGATAGCACACTCAAAAAGACTGTTAAGAAACAAAGCAAAAACGCATTGGAAAAAATTCTGTTGCAATTGAAATAAAAACACCCCAAGCACCGAGCTGTGGTATCAGGCTAAGAAGATGCAGAGAATGCAAGTCACTCATAGGAAATGCAATAACTTGGATTGGGAAGCAAATTTCCTAGACAAAATTGCTCCACCTTCGACCACACCAGTCTTTTCAGAGATTCACCGTAGTCGAAATCCTGAACCCCTGACTAACAATATTTTCAGTCATCCCATTACTGTCACTGAACTTGAATATGCGCTAAAGAACTCAAACAATTCGTCTCCTGGCTGGGACAACATAACATACTCAATGTTATGGCACTTACCTTTCAATGCAAAGCAGCTATTACTATAGTAGAACTTTACAAAGAGGTATGGTTAGAAAACGGAGACATTGAAGACTGACGAAAAATAATTGTTGTGGCCGTGCTCAAACTGGGCAAAGATCCAAATTTATGTGAATCGTACAGACCAATATCCTCAATATCGTGCATCCTTAAGACCCTTGAAAGAATCATAAAGCACATACTAGAATGGTTTCTCTACGCAAGAAATTTATTCCCGCAGTCACAATTTGGTTTCAAAACAGGATATGGTACCTTAGATGCTGTAGGGAATCTAGTCACAGATATCCAAAACTGCTTCTTGAGGAATGAATACCTGGGAGCTGCATTTTTAGAGGTCAAAGGAGCATATTACTGCGTCGACCGGCTCATGCTAAAAGACAAGTTAGAAGATATTCTTGTTCGGACTATAATAAAGCTCTTCCTGAACAGAACAATATTTCTCAGATCCAAAACCAACTCACTACTGGGCCCTAGAGAAGTATCAGTAGGCCTTCCTCAGGGATCAGTTTTATCACCAGTCCTGTTTAACATACACCTATATACTAGGGATATCCACGTAGTTAACCCAGCATACAATCTCGTACAATATGCTGATGACTTTGTCGTTTACCTAGATAAAAAAGGATTCCAATCATGCAAGAAATCTCTATCATGCGCTATAACTTCAGTAACAAGTCAAATGAACACAATGGGATTCAGGAGGACAGCAAAGGAACAGGTTGTGCCTTTATGATACAACCCAGTGGACATTCACCAAAACTCAAATTGAACAGTCTTACACCTATATTCACATCTGAAGCCATTGCAAAGCAAGCAAAGCCTTGGAATACTTAGATTCCAAGGTAATTACCAAAGGGATTATAATATCAGACAGTTTGTCTTGCAAAGTATAGCTAATCCAGTCAACATAAATAACCCTTATATTAACCCATACATCTTGAAAATAAAGCAGTTCCTTCATAAACTAAATGCCAAAAACTACAAAATAAAGTTGGTGCGTGTAAAAGCTCATGTCGGAATTAAGCTTAATGAGAGGGTTGATAGATTGGCCAAGGAAAGCATTACTTCTAGAGAAATCTTGGACCACCTTCTTCCCATATATTCATTTGCAAAAAAACAAACGAGAACTGATTGGGAGAAATATAAAAACTGAAGAATAAATAGATATGTATTAATACAACCCGAAATTCCTAGATCCACCTGGTTTAGTAATTAAAAATACAACAGAAAAACCTCAACGACACTGATAAGGATCAGATTTGGACACGCATGTTACCCAGAGCATCTAAATCGGATTGGCGTACTGGACACTGACCTATGCACAAGATGTAATGAAATTGGAAATCACGACCACCTATTCTTCGGTTGTCAGAACAATAGGAATCAATCTCTGCGACTAATGAACAGAGTAACGGGCTTAAATGTATCGACTCCTTTTAACCTCATACATCTATTATGCATGAATAGAAAGGAGATCTACGACAGCCTGGCTGAATTTATCCATTCAATCAATGTAAACCTATAATCACCTCACATACCCTTGTTGCCTCCCTATTTGTTATATCCCTCCTCCTACCGTGGTCTACCTGTGCACTTGTAAGAAGTCGCCCTGACCGACCCTTGAGGCGTGAAGAAGTGTCCACTGTGAAGATCACTAGCATCATCCCACTATAACAGTAGACTTCCAGTTTGGAAAAACATGAATCCAAAATCAAACCGATGATCCATCATTCATATAATGTCTAGTGACTGGCTGCATGAACACTTACAGGTAGTTCTAATGCCAAAAAAAAACATTGCAATAGATCGAATACATGGCATCGATATACACTCAAAGGCACAATTTAGAGGAAGAGTAATGATGACCACAAGCTACCTCAAGGCAGAAAACATTGCAGTAGGGGCCTAACTGCTTACTTTCAAGATTTCAGATATTCCGACACACTAGAAAGGCTCAATCAGGAAGCAGCTAGTCAGCGTCTTTTTGATAATTAATATCTTCAATATAATTTTCTAGTTTATTAAACATGTTTAAGCCGACTTTTTCCAAAATTGGAAGAATTATGAGCGGGGATGACTGGCGTAGTGTTATTACGTGTACTATAGGTAGGACAATCTGAATTGGCTGGAAAGATATATAACTTTGATTTTACGTGTATTAATAGTTCTAGCATCATAATATATCGAATTGTTGTCTTGAAAAGGGCTTTGCACGACGCACGCAGTGCCACTCCAGCTATTGTTCTCCATTTCCTCTTCTGCACATATCGTCATGTACCCCGAAAAATAATACCATATTTTACTCTACAAGCAAACTGTGCATGATAGTATGAAATTATAGCTGTCTCTAAGCATACTTATCGAAGCTTTCAGATTGCAAAACAAACAGATGACAAGCTTTCGCATAGTTTGTTTATGTGGTGCTTTCACTGAAGAGCCGCATCAAGATGAAATCCTAAAAATTTCGTGTTTGCTACTTGAGTCAATGACTTGCCATCGAGCATGACTAAGAGGCTCTCATCGATTGAGTTGGAACGAGGAGTAAAACTGCTTACGAATTCATTTATTATGCATTCTAATTTATCAATGCATGACTTTATATTATTGTCACAACATAATTAAGTATTAACGTCAGCATACATAATTAGCTTATCTGTTATATTAGCTACTCCTGAAAAGTCGTTGACAAATAGTAACAGCCCTATCATCGAGCCCTGAGATACACCAATCTCGACATTATGACGTGAAGAATAGCCTTGATCAACATCCGCAGACTGGTTCCTTAGAGCAAGATAATAATAATAATAATAACTTAAAATTTGACGACTGACCATTTCAAAGGTCTTACTCAGATCCATAAACAGTCCTATGCATTTTTCTCCCTTATCCAAATATTCATAGAATTTATCAATGAACTGTAGCATAGCCCTCTAGGTATTCCTTTGTTTTCTAAAGCCATGCTGACAGTGTGTCAACATATCTTTCTCCTTGGCTATTTCTTATCTTTTCAAATGTAGATCGCTCTAAAATCTTCGAGACTGGAATCAAAATAGACACTGGCCTATAGTTGCTTATCGCATTTTTGTCAGCATTTTTAAAAATTGGCATTGGCATTATTTTTAAAAATTAAAAAAAAATGTTTCTTCGGAGGGGCTGAAGTTGTTGAGTGAACATTTTGTAGGTGTACTGATAACAGTTTGGCCGACGTATAGAAAGTTGTATATATACTTCAGCTTCTGCGGTGTCAAAGCACAGTAGAATGCGTCTTTATTAAAGATTTTAGTGAACAGCATCACATAAAGCAAGTAATTCACAGGTGAACAGGGTATATGGATGAATCATATTAAAAAATAACTGCTAATCTGAGATTTTTTAATGCATCACACAAACTATTTATATATCATGTCAAACATTACACAATAATATAACTTTTTATATGAATGAATATAACCCTGAGTTTCAGGCTGGAAGGTCCAGCATTATTGATTTTTATAATAAGCTACTTTTTAGAATACAAGTGAAATAATACGGTAACGGTAAGTCCCAGTGCAATACCACAACACACCTGTACATACGTTGAATCAATTACTTTCAATATTTTTTCTATTTTTCTGTTCTTCTTTTCTTCTTCTTCTTTTTGCCTTTTTAGTTTCTCCGCCCTCCGCAACCTCCTCTTCTCCATGTCTTCGTCTATCAGTTCTCCGATTTTGTACTTCCCCAACAACATTATTGCCTTAGTGCTATGACCCACTTCAAAAAACTGGTCAGTCACCTCTATTCCCGCGTTCTCTAAAAGAATATCTGCTCCACCTGAATATCAAAAAAAAAATGTCGTCAAATAGATTGGTTCTCCTCTAAGGTGGTGAGCCGAAAAAAAACCTTTTTTATTTCGAAGTTGTAATAGTGAGGCAAAGTTGCAAATTACATAGGCAAAGGAAAAAGAGAAAAAATCGGTTGACACCGTCCCGTCGCGCATAGTCCCTAAAGTTTGACAAAATATAAAAAAAATCCATTTTTACGACTAGTTTTTAAGTTTCAAAATTAGACGTTTTCGTAATGTAATAGTTTGTAACGTCTTCAAAAATAGAGCCTTAAAACAACGTGTTTTAATTTAGTTTAGATCAGTCGATATCTTCTGGTCGTGCACAAATATTAAAATTTTTGCATTCTGACAAGTTTTATTGTGCCTTTGATATAAATTTCTGAACATAATTACAGTATTTTTAGTTTTTTTTAAAGCATTTCGTTTTTCATGGTGTGAATAAACTAACAACTTCCGATCGCCCAATGCTATAGAAAAGCAGTACCTAAAAAAAGTCCTATGACATGATGGGCGATAACAATACAACGGGCATGATACTTATCAATTTGCCCTACATTGTTGGCAGAAATCAGTGACGACGAGATGAAATCGGCCATCGACAGTGACTCAATCCCTGACTAAAACATTGCTTCCAAGCAATTCTCATTTCATACGCAGGCTGTTGAACGCTGTATAAATCCCGTCACGGAAGCCACGGAAGCCTCAGAAAAAGTGTGAAGATAAATCTCGAGAAGGATTTATAAAAACGACTCTGCTGACTAGATCATCCATGACTACCTTCACCAGCAAATCAGTCTTCAAAGTACCTTCGGCTATAAAGTAGAGAACAGCGCAAATGAACTGGTTCAATCAACATGGACTATTAATCCAAAACCCTATTTTTTGTTTTTTATAAAAGTAAGTTTCTTGTTAAAACCTATGCAGACACTTAAATAATTAAGCTTTTTAAATACAGGGTGCGGCAGAGAGGACGGACGGTTTTAAAAAAATCATAAAATAGTTCATTTTTACTCGAAAACAAATTTATTGATGGAATCAGGTTCACAAGGAAATAGCATTTGAGACAGTCAAGGGTGGAAAATCACATCAGGCATGTGGTGGCTGAAATCGCTGATGCAGTGCTGGAGGCGTTCTTGGAAGTTCGCGTAGACTCTCTCCAACATCGCTCTCTCAACTTGGGCGACTTCCACGCCAATTTCGTCCAGAGTTCGGGGCTTGTTCGCGTATACTCTAGCCTTGAGGTGTTCCCACAAGAAAAAATCGCATATGGATAAATCTGGGGACCGAGGAGGCCAATGAACATCGCCAAACCTGGAAATAAGGCGACCAGGGAAGTGAGGGCGAATAACGCCCATGGATGTTAGGGCTGTGTGGGCGGTCGTCCCATCCTGCTGGAACCACACACGTCGGATTGGAACACGTCGCCGTCGTAATTCATGGAGAAAGAAGTTGGTGATCATGTCGACGTAGCGCTCTGAGTTCACGGTAACATCACAACCATTACCGTCTTCGAAGAAGTAAGGGCCAATGATGCAAGTTTGGGCTGTGTCGTGTAACTGTTGCGGATTTTCATTAGCCCAATAACGAAAATTCTGCTGGTTAACCATGCTGTTTAGGTGAAAGTGGGCTTCGCCACTCATAAACAAAATGAGGTTCTCATTTTGATCGATCAGTGCTTTCATCTCACATGCGAAGTTCATTCGTTGTGCATAATCTCCGGGCTGTAACTGTTGCACAATGGCCAATTTGTAGGGGTGAAAGCGGATATCCATATGCAAAATTCGCCTTACCGAACGATCACTAAGGCGAAGTGCAGCAGCATGTTTCCAGGCAGATCGAGTCAGACTGCGAAGAAAGACCTATCGAACGCGATCAACATTTTCAGGAGTTCGAACTGTCTGCGGCGCTCCTCTTGGTCTTCTGTTGATCAGTTCACCACGCCTGCAAAGTGATTCAAGCCAACGAAGGATGGTGTTTCGAGAGGGAACAGCCCTATTTCGATGAATGTTGAAGTGGTGACGAAACTCACGCTGTACGACGATGACTGACTCATTATTTCGGACGAAACAATCATAGGCGAAAACGCGGTGCTCCACCGTCCAAGGCTCCGTAACGACAACCGGTAAAATAATGCTACAGTATATTCAGATAAGAGATAGACCGGACATAAACAAGACCACGTGATCATCGAACGCTGTAACATTCGGCAGGGACGTATTAAGAGTCACGCAGTACATATTTTAGATAGTAGATGCTGCTTTGCGTAACTTTGTAGTAAATTAGCACAATTCGATGTGTATACGATTGGTGATGGATATAGGATCATGTGGGGGTGGGGTAAGAAATATATAATGATGTAAATATACATAAGGGTTTCAAAATTTTCGCTTCGATTTCCAGCTTCGGATGCCGCCTGATGTTTGGTGAAATACAGTCGAATATAATCTAAAAATGGCGTTTAAATTAGCCTAAATTAAAAATAATCGTATATCTCTTAAAATTGCTTCTAGAATATTGATTAGTATATTTTTTGATTTCTAGGTAAATATGTAACCAAATTAAAACGTTCAACACGTAAAAAAATGTGCATGGTTGAACCTTGTCAGAAAGTAGATTCTTGAATAGGTTTTGCCAAAATGGGTTCAAAAATGTCGATAATTAATTAAAAAATACAGTAGCTTTATAATTACTTATAAATTACCGAATTTGATGAACGACATCTTTTATTGGAAACATGAGCTTGATGAGCTTTCATCATCGCTACTGCCTGAAGCACCAACGTCAATAATAAATGGCTCGACTTGTTCCTCTAAAATATTGTCCAGTTCCCACATTCTCTTTTCAACTTTGTCTTTCACGTGCTTAATACAGTTTTCCCATTTTTGCGCTGTTATTAATTCTAGTGCTTCTTTGAAAAGTCCTTTGAGGTCACAAAATTTAAAAGTTGTATTGTGCTTAGCTATATAATTGTTAACCTCTGCCCATATGAGCTCAATGGGATTGAGCTCGCAATGGTATGGAGGTAAACGGAGCACAGTTTTATTTTGACTTGCTGCCATTTCGTCAATGGCGTATTTTTGATATTCCGCCTTGTGATCCTTGACAATTCTTAATAATTGTACTTTCAGCATTGCTTCTTCAAAGTTGATATTTTTCGAGCGGAGCCAATTTTGAACATCAACTTTCCTTGAAGCCGTTGTTGGGACCTTCTCCATTCTTCGAGAATGATAAGGCGCATTATTCAACACAATTAATGCATTTTCCTCTAAGTTCGGTAAAATTTTTGAAAACCACTGTTCAAACGATTCGCCATTCATTTCCTCGTGGTAATCTCCAGTTTTCTTAGACTCAAAGCACCACAGACCGTCAACAACAAATCCATCCTCACTGCCAATATGGCAGATAATGAGCCTTTTCCCTTTACCTGGAAATCGAAGTAATAACTGGTGTAGATTTATTTCAATAAGCGAACCTTTTCCAAATCTTTTCATCACATTCAGCGAAAAAACATTGAGACATGAGTATCAGATTGCTATAATTGGGATTATTTAGTCATATTGAAAGAAAGAATATTGAACGTCGTATGATTACTCAGCGCTTCACAATTTAATTTAAAGTTATAAACCTTTAAAAAATGAATGATCAGGAACCTGAAATACGCGCAAATATTAATATTAACAAATTATAACTTTATAAAGCTTAAGGTATGAATTAAAATGATTAGAAATATTAGGAACGGTACACAATATAAAACTTAGTAACTTTCTTTAAGTTTATAATATTCGACATATTTTAAGATTATATTAAAAAATTATTGAAATATCGAAAACACATAAAAACATGGCTTAAAAAAGTTCTAACAAATGAAAATGACAATAAAACATCCACGCATTTTATCGAAAGTTATAAAAGTTTTGTTACTTGTAATATGTTTTATCTGCCCCCTGGAATTAATGTTTAGAACCTTGTTCCCAAGGTTTGAAAAACATCCGATTGTTGTCTATTACTCGTATTTACCTGCTGGATTTTTTAATCCGGTGGACAGTCCATCTAGAAAGGCCCTCCTGGATGAAGTTACAGAATCATCAACCCATACTTTACTTGTAGTGTAGTGTGTCCTGCGTTTACCCACGTTTCATCAAGGTAATAAACCTTCCTGTTTTGATTCTTATATTTCCCAATTTTTGTTAAATAATCCCTCCTCCATAGCACAATTTCTGCTCTATCCAGTAGTAAACTATTACGACCCCGTTTTTTCCATTTGAAATTTAAATGCTTCAGTAACGCATGGAAAGTTGATCGTTTGAAATTTGGCAACATTGTATCTCCATTTACCTCCTGCAGTACTTTATCTATAGTAGGTATTTCATTCCTAAAGAAGAATTCATGCACTTTCCTCCTAATCGCATGCTTATCAGCTTCATCCAATGATTTAACGATACTTTTGCGATGTTTACTGGTCATTGGCTCAGAAAAGGTGTGATTTTTTTTGTATTGTCTTAACACATTAAACACTGATGCGCGACACACCCCAACTTTGTGAGAAACCTTCACAACAATTTCTTTGATGGTTGATGCCTCGTTCTCCTCGCGCTCGATCTTATATATATTCAAAATGACCTCTTTCATTTCTGCACTCAGCTGTCTTTTTTTAGAGCGTTTCCTAGGTGGACTACAGGAGTTTACAACTTCATCGGCAGTATCTGTACTACTGGGCATTTTGCGCAAGCAGTTGATAACAATAACAATCAATAACAAGGTATAACAATAACAACGACAAACTCAACAACTTAATAAGATAACAAACGAAAACGTCCAAAGAAATATCAAATTGCAATGATGCACACGACATACGTAAGACGTCTGAACCTGAATGTGACTCTGCCTTGATACGACTGCTCTGCCGCTCGGCATAGGTATTTAATTGCGAATTGTCCAATGAGGGCTCCTGTTTTACGTCGAGACGGCGGCGTTAGCGTGAAAATCACCCGAACCTTTTGTTTACATCCGGTCTATCTCTTATCTGAATATACTGTAGGATCTCACGAGTAAAACGGCACCCTACCCACCTCTCTCGTAGGCGGAGGCGGAGAGTACTACCCATCCTAAAAACGTCCGTCCTCTCTGCCGCACCCTGTACAAAGTTGAACAGTCATGCCCATTGTTACTGTTTCACCCATCATTTCATAGAACTCTTTTTTAGTACTGTTGTTAATTCACACCAAGCACAATGATCTTTTTTTCAAATATAAATACTGTAACTATTACGTTAAAAACGTGTATAAAATATATAAAAGAAGGTCGTAAATATTTTGGCAACTTTTGGGGCTTATACGCGAAGGGAAGATATCATCTGATGTAAACCAAATTAAAACACAATGTTTTCGGGCTCTGTTTGAAGACGCTACAAACTATTACATTACGGAGACATCTAATTCAGAAGTTCTGACAGACTTTAGTTCTCGTGCGCGACGGAATATTTCAAGCGATATTGAAAATGTTTTCTTTCTTTATTCTGTTTATATAATTCGCAACTTTACCATGCTACTACAACTTCCAATTAGAAAACGAGTTTTTCCGTCCCAAACTGCTCTCCACTGTCCACGGTGCAAGTTAGTCTCCATGGAAACAGGGGGAAGTTATAAGAATAAGTAAAAAAAATCATTACTATTTCCGATTTCCATAATTATGATTTTTTCAACAAACATATTTGAACCTTCAATTTCCTATTAGGCATTAGGAGGGATCGACATTTTGATTTTATTTTCACAAGTTCCTCCTGAAAATGGGGTACGAGCTACAACAAATAATGGTGGGAATGTCATTTTGCCCCTTTTTCGTGCTTGTCATATTTTCGGGTCGAAAAGTCGAAGAGTGAAAGCAATACAAATCATATGGATCTTTTTAGACAATATTGCAATTAATGTTGTTTACCCTTTAACTAGCTGGAAAATAGCATAACGCGCTTTGCCGAAAAAAAGATTAAAATTGTACTTTTTTACCGGGAACAATGCTTTCTTATCTTCTTCAATAGTTTTGTTGACAAAAACAAACATGCGTCTTACTCGGAAAAATCGCCAAAGACACATTTTCCTCTTTTTCAGAGGCAAAGTAATGTTGCTTTCCATATATTTTGTAACTCATCACAAAATATCTTAATACTCATCTCTCCGTACGATACTATGAAAACTTTAAAAACAAGTTTAAAATGCGAGTTTGAAAAACCATACACAAATTTTTCACGCACATAGCGGTATATGTATAATCGAAAAGCGAAAAAAAAGACACAAATGACACAGTGCTTCTGGATCCGAAGCTGGAATTAATTTTTGAGACACAGAACCCCGACATTTGGAGCCCTAACAAATACATTACCGTTACAATATCAAAACCGAAAGTCGGTATTTTTATATGGAAAGTATTCCAATTCACAAACCGAAAACATACGAATTACCTGTTGATTTGCAAATCTTGGGATGAACAAGCAATATACAGAGCATAATATTTTTGAAGTCTCCCGTTACGAAAGCTACATCTACGTCCTTCACTACAAAATATAATAGTTTACCTAAAATGTGATCAGTATTATGACCCCCCCCCCCCTCCCTTATATACTTATACTCACCGCTGTGTCTTACATAATAATTGAATGGATTAAGTCAGTCAAATAGACCTATATAATTAGTCCATAGTCCCAACCCAGTTGATAACGTTGCGATCTGGACATATATGTACAAATGTACGGGAAAATGGTATGTGAAATACTTATTTCTAATCGGCCCGTAGAACCGGGGCAGGAACCAAATAAATACACTATCGCAAAGAATTGTAATATACCTTCATCATCCCCTACAACTCTCAGCCCACAATTTTTAACTCCTACACAAATGACCAGGAGACCGATTTTCAAAAACTGCAAAGCTTTTTCGTATAGTAGTAAATCATTGAATGGTATTAAATAAATTGATGAATAACGTAACCATGCGTCTTATGCTGAAGACTCCTTTTTTCTCTTCGACCCGGTATCCCCGAGAAAAAGTTGTGGAGGCAAAATTGTCCCGCTTTGTTAAACTGCACGAAAATAGGGTCGGTTAGTCAGGGGTCCCCGGCTGGATTTTAAGCACGCACCAATCGCTAACCCCCCCTGGTCATCAGGTTTGATTGCTGGAAATTGGCCCTATTAAATGAGATACATAAACCCGCACGCCTCCCTCCTCTAGCTCTTCAGTTTTGATGATTTGAATTCCGGGAATTGGGACGATTGAGGCATATGTACATGCATAAACTGAAGTCCCGTGTCAACTCAGAAAACAAATAGCTACTTATGAATGTCAGAAAAATTAAATATCAATCCTCCACTTTCCCAGCTAAGACGAGCATGTTATAATGACGTCGACGTCGAAATTATTAGTGATAACTTGTTAACTGATCAATTTCATTTAAAAAACAGGCATCTCAGTTGAAAATTTGTCTTCGCAGTGCCGAAAATTGAATTAAATTATTAAATCATAAATGGAGGAACACGTCCACCTGATTTTAAAGGTCATCGAAGATATATGAATCGCACTTGCCATATCAAATGATATATATGTACATTGCACAAAAAACGATCGGTCTTTTTATTTCAGATTCAAACAAGGCAGCTAAGTTTATCAAGGAGCTTAAAGCAAACATTTTGCGCATCCAGCCACTGCCGGTGTAACTTGAAACTGTCAAAACTTCGAGAGGAAGGGGAAATTCCATCTGTTCCCGCTCCGGTTCACTACGGGATCTCGCGAAAAAATCTCTAAAGTAATCTGAAATGACAAATTATTCAGGTGTTGCCAAACGTTACCGCCAATTTCTCTTTTATATTTCTTGTGTTCCAATATATAATGTTTAATGATTTTCAAAAATACATGTGAGTACAAAATGAATAAAAAATGACCTTATTTGCTAGAAAGTTTAAATAGAACATACGAAACAAAAAAATACATATCACGTTTCAGTTTAAGTTTAATCTGGCAACTCTATAACGAGTGACAATTGACAGTGAACGTCAATTACCAATCGCTACAATCGACGTTATTCGTTCCGTGCCCCCACCATTTGTACTCGATGAAGGCGCCTCATTGCTCCAACTTCCACGTAGTGAGTGATCCCAAAACTATAGGAAAATAGCACATTTTGAAAACAGTTTCAAGCTACCGTGACTACAATTCTCTAGCATGTTGTGCAAGTACCATAAGTGAGTTACCCTCATAGGGTGTAAAAGTGACAATATTAATGTAGTGTTCCCACTCAGTGCATCGTATTGTCTGTGTAATACAGGGACTTTGAAGTTGAGTCATTAATTTTCAGATAATGATTGTAGAAGGAAGATAAACCAAAATATGTGTGTAAAAATAAAAAAAAAATTAAAAAAATCTGTTTACCTTGTTTTATGAAGTATCCTCCCGACAAGTATTTCAGTGCGGACCTGTATTTGATCGTGAGGTCTTGGAGCACCGCCACTTAAGTCACCTGATTCACGAGCCCGTTGTACTACATTAACAAAGGCACGAGGGGTTGGTTGCACTCGATTGGGAAACCGATCCGCATAAATATGTGCCATTTTTTATTTCGTTTGAGCCACGCAGCAATCACCACTATTCACTCACGCGTTATAGACTGACACAGACTGAATAAAAACATCGTGATCAGCGTTTCAAATTCTTTCGCCTTTTTTGTTTCCGGTGCGATGAACTGATAAGGCGGAGTATATCCGTTGTCGCCAAACAAGAGCACATAATATTATTATTGAGACAGGGCGGTACTCAAACTTCTAAAGGGCTATAACTTTGTTACTTTAATTTTACCACAAAAATGTTAAAGGAAAAAACATTTCTTTTGATCAGATCTACTCACTGTTAAAATAAATGACTCAACTTCGAAGTCACCCTGTATAACCGATAACTCAGAGTCTATGGTTTTTTCAAGAAAGTTAAACTGGCTATTCATTATCAATAGCAGACGTCATCTTCTCGTCCAGCGATGTATTATAACGTTACTTTTATAACATCCAATTCGCAATTTCTTGTCATTTCATGACCAGTTTTCATGTGGTTGTGCTACCTAACTTTCTGTGTCAAAGAGACGACGCTCTTGGCGTAGACGCAATTATGTCGTATATAAAATACCTGTACTAACCTGGGTGCTCATTGAGAAAAGGTGTTACGTCATACACGGAGTTGGCGAGAACCACCCAACAGCTGTTCTCGTTGTTATGGATTTTCACGTCTTCGAAAGAATACCTTGTATCCTTCATGATTTTCTCTATGTTAGTCCGCTACACAATACTGCTGCTAATAGCTGGTTGCTAATAAAATCAGATGTGATTTAGCTACAGAAACTGCCAGTGATGACGTCGCGTGCGCCTGGCTTTCTGAAATATTCCCAAGTCTCGGTCGCTCGGTCCCTCGGTCGTCCTTGCATGCTGGATCAATAAGCTTGTAGTTCAGTGAAATTAAGCACATATTTGGCTAGTTAAAGCAGTGTTTCTCAACCTTTTATTACTTGCGACCCAATTTCCAATCACAATTACCTTAATTTTATATAATCTTATGTTAAGTTTCATTACAATGTTAATAACAAACCTTAAAATTTGCATACTTTGCTGAAATCTGTTGCAATTAACGAATTCGAACTATATAGAAGGAGCAAGTCCACGATTTGTTTGTCGCCAAAGTTACGTAGTCAATAGTTAGGATGCAACTTCATACTACAAGTTGATCAGGCTTATCCTGCCAGTTTGACAGTGGTTGACATTTCAGATTAAATTTGTATACTTTTCTGCGAAAACATATAAGGAATCTTGTTCATGAAGTGAGAAATGCTCTTCATGAATTCCGTAATTATCAATGCAGCGACTTTCTGTCGGCGATGTTTGACTCATGTATTCCTCTCTGGAAAGTTGCAAGGTCGCCCAGAAACGGAAAGCGAGAACAACTCCCGCACATCCACGGTCCTGGGGGCATAGTCTGTAGGACAGAGGAAAAGGTCGAGGTTTTCGCTGATGCAATGGAAAGTCAGTTCTCTCCCAACTATGATAATGACCTCGACGAGGAGCAACACATTGTAAGGTCCGGCACGAGATATTTTAGGGCCAACGGCCTCAACACTGAAGAACTGCATGGCATATCAGCGGAATCTCTAATATCACTAATAAGGCGCTGAAGCTGCTTTCACGGAAGTCCTTAAGTTATCTCGTGGCAATAATCAATGCCATGATAAGGACCCAGCACTTCCCCGTGGCGTGGAAGACCGCTGTTATAATGATTCCAAAGGTGCATTCGATACTGCCGCAGGATTAGCGCCCCATTAGTCTACTGTCAGCTCCTTCTAAGCTCGCTGAAAAGGTGATACTACATCACCTTGAACATTTTTCGTGATTCCTGACGTGCAATTTGGCTTTCAGTATGAGCATAGTACGGAGTTACAGGCGGCTAGGTTGGTTGAACGAGTAACCAGTGGGTTCACCCGTACGGAAAGTACTGGCATCTTGCTTCTGGATGTCTCAAAGGCATTTGACAAGGTGTGGCACAAGGGCCTCCTGTACAAATTGATCCATAAGGGTTTCCCCTTCTGGCTCCTAAAACTTTTGAAATCCTTCCTTGGAGGTAGGAAAATGACGGGTCAAAACGACGTTCTGTCGACAACACGCCCCATCAAAGCCGGTGTCCCTCAGGGCTCCGATCTTGGACCAGTTCTTTATTCACATTTTATTCATGACGTCCCTTGCCCCAGCACTGTGAAATCTATCTCTATGCTGATGACACTGCCCTGGTGGCCCAGTCGTGTTCTGGGAACTTAGTTCACGACAGACAAGCTGCAAAGTGCAGTGGACGAGGTGTTGGAATGAGCGAGTCGGTGGCTGATCAAAATTAATCAATCGAAAACGCAGGCTATCTACTGTACTAAAAAAACGTAGCGCGTGTCTTAGATTTCAGTGAATGGAGTTCGGGTGCCATGGGAAAGTTCTGCTAAGTATCTCGGTGTCACTCTTGACAAGGGGATGACCTGGCAGAAGCACACTGAGGCATTAAAAATCTCGTTTCGGCAGCTCTACCCTATGCTATGTAGAACATCAAAATTAAGTTTGATCTGCAAAGTTCGGATATACAAGATGGTTACTAGACTAGCGATCACTTACGCAAGTACGGCTTGGTGTTTTCTTGCCAAAACGCATTTGCGTAGCCTGCGGGTTTTGTAAAACAGAACCTTGTGTACAATACTAACGCCCAATGGTATGTCTCCAATGAGACTCTTCATATGGACCTTGACATCCCTTACCTAAGGGACTACATGAAACAACAAGCGCAGCTACGTTATAGTCAAGCGGAATCGCATAGCAACCCTTTGTTGCGCGAGTCAGTATACTACACGTTCGCAAGTACACAAGACCACGACTCGCACTGTGAACAAAATTAAATCATGCGACTTTAGGTCCAACCTAAATTATAATTTTTCTTCAACAACAAATCTCTAAATTAATTTTAGGATTAATTTAAAATTGCCGAATAATAATTAGCAATGTCAAGGCACCCCTCAAATTGACGCACTTCTTTTTTCTTGGCTCTCCCTCCTCCTTCCTTCCTTCCCTACTTTCTCCTCAACTTTGTCTGGTATCGGGGCAATCAGACCTGACAGACCTAGTGACTTACTACACTTTAACCAAGAGCAATAAAGGTCCTACGGACCGCTCTGACAGACAATGATTGTTTGTTTCAGATTTATTTAGCATTAATGCTACAATATTCATCATATCCATGTTACACAGTATATCACATAATATATTATGTCTTGAAAACTACATATTTTTATACAAAATTTCACTACTATGATTCCTGGATTTCCATGAGATATTTTTTCAATTTCCCCTTGAACATTTTCAAACTGACACACATCTTGATATCATTACTTGATTTATTAAATTCGTACATTCCCTTTTGAAATACTGACTTGCTGTAATATTGCTGCTGCAGTTTTGTAAATGAAAGCCTCTAGTAGACTAACTGTGGCACTGATTGTTCAGTACAATAAAATTTTCTAAGTGATTTGGTAGATGATTTTTTAACTTGAATATGATAATGAAAACCAAGTAGGTTATGAAATTTTTGATAATTAACCATTGTAGTTCTTTCAGCATAAAATTTCTTCTAGTATATTTATTTTCATTTAAGATGGTTCTCATATAGCTTTATTTTGTAATATTTGTAATTTTGAAAATACAGTTTCGTTTGCAGTGAACAAAATAATCGAACAATATAACAAATGAGGAAGAATGGTAGTGTTGTACACATTTTTTTTTTTTTTTAGAATAAACGCTTAGGCTATGCGAAATTCTATAAAAGTAATTTAGTTTCTTGGATATTTTTGAAATACTATATTCATAGTGCCCTTCAAATTTTAATTTACTACATATTTACGTATATGCCCAAATATTTAGATGATTCGATTGACACAATTTTTTGACGTTTATCGTACTTTGATCTAAAGATATTCCTATTAGCATATATTTTGTTTTGTTTAATTTGAGTTTATTCACATTTAACCAATTTACTACGTTTTTCATATCATTATTTACCAGCTCTATTGCAGTTTCAATGTCCTTATTTAATATATATATATATACATATTAGGTGAAAAATTAAAGCTTCCGCCTTTTGTTGGGTACTTCGACAAAATTTAAGCAAAGAGGACTCTTTATACTTTTTTTAATTCTCTCTAGCTTTCAATGGACTTTGCCATCATCATCAGGAGCTGCAATTACAATGATAACAGTAGCAACAAAAGTGTAAAATGAATTTAAATTGAATCAACTTACAGTAGTATGTGAGGATGTTGCTAATTGTTGTTTTCGTATAAGATGAGGGAAACGTCCAGTAACATGGTGAGAGCTGGATACATGGTACAATGGTTAAAATTATATAAAATATGACAAGACAAGTTAAAGACAGATTAAAAATTATTTAGAAAACATTAGAGCATTACGTCGTGAAGCCACTTGATGATTGCACAAAATGGTGGTCATGGAATAATGAGTGAGATGAACCTTTGACAGAAGGCCGAAGGTTGTCAATGTCTGTGTTGAAAGATGGAACGAATTGTGGGCGTGTGCCAAAACGTTGCCAAAACACTTCAGATGATGTAATTTTCAGAATGTTATGTAAGAAATTGATAAACCGACCAGAGGCAGTTGAATAAACTACGAAAACAACAATTAGCAACATCCTCACATACTACTGTAAGTTGATTCAATTTAAATTCATTTTACACTTTTGTTGCTACTGTTATCATTGTAATTGCAGCTCCTGATGATGATGGCAAAGTCCATTGAAAGCTAGAGAGAATTAAAAAAGTATAAAGAGTCCTCTTAAATTTTGTCGAAGTACCCAACAAAAGGCGGAAGATTTAATTTTTCACCTAACTGGTCTAGACGACAATGACCGCGTCTCAAGTTATATATATATATATATATATAAAGGGTGTCCCAAAATTAACGCAAGATTTGAATTTGCCGCCATTTGTGCAGTGAAGTGTTGGCAACCCTGAAAAAAAGCAATTTGACAGCTAACAGTATAGGGTTATGAAAAATGGAGCGTTACACGATAGAACAACGTGTCTTCATTATTAAAGAATATTTCAAAAATAGTGAAAGCTTGGCGGCTGCAGTTCGAAAATTTCATACAAAATATGGCCGGAATAGAGTTTTAACTTCGTCAACTGTGAAGAGATTAATTGAAAAATTCATGGAGACTGGATCCGTTGGAGACGCCAAACACACTGGTCGTCCAAAAACAAGCCGTTCAAATGTGAATATCGAAGCAGTGCGTGAGAGTGTTGCGGACAATCCAGGAACCTCAATTCGACGTCGTGGACAAGAATTGCAAATGTCAAGAACCTCTCTACAGCGTATACTCACCAAATATCTGTGTCTTCATGCTTACAAACTTCAATTAACACAACAATTGAAGCTTAATGACCATGCAGAGAGAAGAGAGTTTGTTGAATGGATTATTGAACATCAACAAATGGACCCTGATTTTTCAAGCAAAATCATCCTAAGCGATGAAGCACATTTTCATCTTGATGGCTTTGTCAATCGCCAAAATTGCCGCATTTGGGGTTCGGAGAACCCACGTGTGATTGTCGAAAAAGAAATGCACCCACAACGCGTGACTGTCTGGTGTGGATTTTGGGCTGGAGGCATAATTGGGCCATATTTTTTTGAAAATGATGCTGGTCAAGCAGTGACTGTTACTGGTGCTCGATATCGCGACATGATTACACAGTTCTTTCTGCCAAAATTGAATGATATTGATGTACCCAATATGTGGTTTCAACAAGACGGTGCCACATGTCATACAGCCCGTGAAACAATTCAATTACTGCATGAGACATTTCCCGGTCGTGTACTCTCTCGTTTCGGTGATCAAAATTGGCCTCCTAGATCGTGTGATTTAACACCATTAGACTTCTTTTTATGGGGTTATTTGAAATCACAAGTCTATGTCAACAAGCCCACAACCACCCGTGCATTAAAGGAGGAGATTCAACGCTGCATCAACGAAATTCAGCCACATTTATGCAGAAGGGTCATGGAAAATTTCGACAAAAGAGTGCGCATGTGCATGCAAAGCCGTGGAGGCCATTTGTCCGATGTGTTATTCCATACATAACCCTATCCTATGTACTTTATGAGTCAATAAAAATATAACTATTAAAAGACTAAAAATGGCATTTTCTATTTAATTCAAATCTTGCGTTAATTTTGGGACACCCTTTATATATACATTAATGCATCATCAGCAAATAGTTGAATTTTGCAGTGTTGTAAAACATCAGGAATATCGTTAATATATGAAATAAATAGTAATGGACCTAATTTGCTACCCTGAGGCACACCTAGTGAAATGTTCTTAATGCTTGATAATCTATTGCCAATTTTAGTTCTTTGACTTCTATTGATTAAATAATTGTATAATATGTTGAGTACTGAACCTTGAAAACGATAGTAATGCAATTTCGTTAACAATTTCTCACTGTCAATAGTCTCAAATGCCTTCTTGAAATCCAAAAACAATGATACTGTAAACTTTTTTTCATCCATATTTCGCCTCCATTCTTCTACTGCCATTTGAATTGCTGTTTCAGTAGAATACTTTTTTCTGAATCCTGCTTGAATTTTTGTCATAATTTTGTTTTCTTCAATATATTCAAAGACTTGTTCATATATGATTCCTTCTAAGAGCGTCTCGACATCTGGCAGTACATTAATTGGCCGCATGTTTGTATATAACTCAGAATTTTGCACTTTTGGAACAGGAGTAATTGTAGAACATTTTAATTTAATGACGAATAGATCATATGAGGAACTAAAAGAAACTTTGGCAGTCCGATTTTTGAACTGCCTAAGGTTAGTAAAAATGGAAAAGCCTCCTCAGGTAACTTGTTCCACAATCTCAATACCTAGTTCTGGATGTAAGACCTTGGAAATGGTTCGGATAGGAAGCCGAAGTCCGGCGGATCTGTCTGGCAGTCACATCGCGCGGCAGCATCATGGAGGAGAGCTCTGAGGAGTAAAGCCCATCGACATAGCGGTAGAAGATAGAAAGGGTCCCGAGACTGTCCGTTAGAGAAAAGTCAACGATCAATCGGACAACCCTCCTCTGAACAGCATCGAGCATTTAGTCGGGAAGGCGGCACCCCAAACATTTGAGCAGTACTCGAGGCTAAGTCTAACCTGGGCTTTGTGAGAGTGAGGCGTTCATGTGGGGAAAAGCACGTACTCAATAAAACGATATAAAGTAAAAATACCATTTTATTTTAAATTCACAATCCATATAAAACAAAATTATATTCCACTTCATTTATCACAGCATCTAATCTAACCAGGAAAATACTGATATAGGGGATAATAGGAAGGTAAAACAATGTATAACTGTTATATGTATAACAGAGAAACAATTTAAATTATTAAACCTTGAAAATAGCCTGACGAGTATCCAAAACAAAGATAAGGCAGGTTGGTCCTTTTATTATTGCAAAAGCAACATATATGAAAAAATATTGAGAATAAATATGTTTAAGTTCTGTCATTACATCTGATACTGGCAAGTAACATCTTGTAAATAATTTCATCATTGCGTAATTAATCCATACAAAGAAATCGACTAAAAGCTATTTACAACATTAAAAACCACATGAAACACATGTAAATAAAAGAAGACAACTACAAAAACGTTACTTTAAGATAAAACTGTATTAAATATAGATATGTATGAATCGAAAATTACTGGAAGGTACCCAAATGATTGCTTGAATCGGTTATTTGACTTTACTCCTTAAGCTTAAGAAACCCGGCAATTAAATATTTTATTTATTTCGATGCAAACCTAATTCGACACAGTACTCATGACTGACAGTGCGAAACAACAAGTTAAAAACAGGTATGTAGTGTAAGTACTAATGACTGACACGGCACCATTGGAATGGTACAGTGTCTGTCACCAGGGGCGGTCAATGCGTTAAATACAATCTCAATCTATAAAATATACTTCAAGGCAAAAACCTGGACACGAGAGACCTCTTAAGTTGTAAAGTACTTGTAAATGAAAGGAAAAAATCTGTTATTTCATATAACTTTCATAGCAAGGCAGGACATTGATAGATCGTGTCAAAAATATTATTTATATTGCTCATAGAAATAAATTTTATTCTGCAGCTAATTCACTATGAAAGCGTGCCCCACTTTTTAAACATCAAACAGGTAATGGTCCAGTCTACTTAATTTATTTGACATAATAAATAGATTGGGATGTTGCTTCAGTGGATATTGATAAAAATAATAAAAAGTTGTAACTAAAACTAGCAAGAAGACGTTGAAGTCATTTGCCGCAGAAAAATTATTCTTATATATAAATGGAGTGACTTGAGGCTTCGACATTCTAAGTGCTTCCTCAAAATTATTTAGAACCAATACAAAAATATTCTAAACACTAGGAGAAGTAGCAATCTACGCGGACACAGCTTCAAACTGCATAAGAAGCCTTTTAAAACAACAGTCCGACAGTGGTTTCTTCCCAACCGCATATTCAACACCTGGAATAGTTTACCTGAAAGTGTGGTTGGTGCTACTTCAGTTAATAGCTTCAAAGTGCAGTATGATAGCTGGAGGAGTGTACAAACTTTATAGCTATGAACTGTCTTTTTTTATTTTTTTCTATTTGATGTATTTGTGTTACGTGTCCGTACACTATATTTACTGCATGAGCTTATAGTACTGTGTACTCTGCTCATCTCAATTATCATAATAATAATAACTTTGAGGCGAGGGGTTCAGCTTGGTACCAACTTCTAAGGATAACTTCTGTTTTCATAAAGTTATAAATCATACTTTTCACAGGAGAATTTTTCAATTTTATGAAAGCAGAAGCTATCTGTAAAACCTAAGTTGGCACCTACCTAATTAGATTTTAGGGCCTTACTCGTGAAATTACGTGATTAAGTTGAGCATCAAAAGTGACTTGCCAGTTTGAAATTTCCTAACACCGCCTCACAAGAAAGATTACATGTAATGGGCTTTGTTGTAATATATTATTTGTCTGAATCACTTGACTGAGTCTGCTATGTAGAAATTAAACAGGACATTTTCCTGTTTCCTGCCAAACCTACTGATATTTGACATACATAATTTTTCTGTTTATTTTTTTTCAATTTCACGTTACGCAGATACCCACAAACTCCTTAACAAGTATTGGAGTGAATATACGGTATTTGGATTGTCAATTATCAATTAAGAAAAATAGCTTATTTTGTTTTCATATTCATTATGTCGTAGGGTATGTACTTTTTTTAGTAGGATAGTTCTTTTTTTCGAACTCCGTACTACTGTCCTCTAAAAGTTTATCAAGTACTCCTAAATGTACTTTTAATTAAAAAAATCTGTCCTACTTTTTGTTTGAAGAACGAAATAATTATAACTGTTTTTGTGTTTTTGACGTATTGCGTATTTGGATTTCAACCCACTCTGCCGTCGCTGATCGAAATTTAAGTGAACTAAAGCTTTTTGGATGGGCTAGCCTGAGAAGACAAGTTTCTTGGGCGGATATTTTATCTTCGTGTAAGGCTTTTAAGGACTACATAGGTCCGGTATTGAATCAGGACGAACTGTTCGATGAAACGAACGTTACTGAAAACAAAATTGCTGACTGGAATTTAAGAAATATTATTTCTACTGAAGATCGATGGCTCGATGTTTACCAAACGGAAAATGCATTGAAAAATATAACAATTTTATGTGAGTTTGTTTGTTGTCTGCCTGCGACCAGTGCGTCAATTGAGAGGTTATTCTCCAATATTAATAACTATTGGAGTTCTGAAAAATCGCAGTTGAAGATATCTACTCTGGAAGCCTACGCGAACTTTAATGATACTTGCATTGAAATGTTCCATTTTCTAAAGGGTTAAACCACAAATTTTGAAGGCACTTCACAGTTCCCAAAGTACGACTGGTACCAAAATGAAGATCCGAATGGTCAAGCTAACACGTCGTAGGAAAATTAATTTTTAAAGATTTACGTGCATATTTTTTTTAATATTTTGTTATGTTGCTGCTGAATCTGTATTATAATAAAACACAAATAAAAATTTGTATTAGAGCGAGTTGATCTCTTTGGCACCACAAAATTGATTTTAGATAATAATTCCGGGCAATCAACTGTATTATTAATCAGACTATCAAGCACTGTAATGTCATTCCGTCAATTGACGACGGTAAACCAATTTATCAAAATTCCCGACCTGAAGTAGCATATTGTGTGGAAAGGCGCCTCTAGGATATATGCCATAAGCTTTGAAATCGATGTATTTCAGGCTCTTTCGCTGGGACAACTTGAATAGCTGAAATTGCATTTCTGGACCTCAGAGCCAGACAGTATTAAGTCCACAATTTGGGTAAATTAAGGTTATTGTGTATTCTCCTATACTTTTTCCCGCTCTTTCTGATTCCGATGCGTATTAAGTCCTATCTCGATCAGTTATCAAGGAAATCGTTTTTGAATAGTGCTAAGTCCATCACTTATACGGACTACAACGTATCATTGGCTTTTGATACCATCTGGTTCTATACAAAACCTCATTCTCTGAGGTGTTAAGTCCAAATGTGAGGTTATGTTAAAGGACGTGATACTTATTTCATAAGCTGTTTATATTATGTCCATACAGTGAGAGGTAGCATATTTAATATAAAATTAGCTAGAAGCATCAGTAGATTATCAAATTTTGGATTCTTATCATTGCCATTATGACATCTAGAGGCAAAAAACTTGTGGAAATGATACAGTCACGGAAACCTGACGAATGGGCCCCTGAAGAAGATGACATAACCTCATTATCGAATGTATATGACGGTAAGTATATTTCTGAAATCAATCAGTTATTGCCTTTAGATGAACCTGTTCATAGTTGTAAGTAAAATTAGCTATCGAAAACAGAACTGGTTCTCAAAGAATCTGCTAACAATAATAAATGGCACTGGCTATGCACGATTTCAAGTTTAATAAAAATGAAGAAATAGCTTCTACTTGGCGTCTTCTATTGTAACGATTGTAATGTTTGCATTCATCTTTTCAGGGCAGTTGCAATGTGATGAGGAGACCGAGATTCTTATGGAATTAGAGGCAGTACCAGAATCTTTGGACGGTGGCATACCAAGTGATGTAAAAATGATTGCAGTAGCAGTAGATAACAATGATGAACCGATGCTATTCGCTGAAAACGTAGGAGATGAAATTATTCCAGTTGTTGACAAAGAATACGAAAAAAATGATACTTTGGAAAGTTGTAGTAGTGATAGTAAGCACCCTATTGCCAATACTGTCCTAACAGAGTATCATTCAGACTTGAATTACCAAACCGAAACATGTAGTAGTTCCAATGAATCTGTATCTTCTGCAGCTACTATTGAAAAAAAAGGAAGAAAACGTTCCAGAAACTGTAAAAAATGGAAGAACAACATCAGAAAAACAAAGAAAGCAGCAGGCGAGGAATATGTGTCAGCAAAACAGAAAGTAATTCCCGCAAAAAGTATGAAACTACCCTGTGGTGTTGATTGTAAGAAGAAGTGCACTCTAAATATCTCATCTGATGATCGAGCTTCAATTTATTCCCAGTTTTGGAGCAGTGAGCTACTTGTGGACCAGAAAAGGCAATTTATTGCTGGTTGCATAGAAGAAGTTCCAGTGCAACGTGTTCGTACTAGAACTGGGTCACGTGCTGGTAAACGCAAATATTCATTGAGATATTTTTTCACGGTGAACGGCAAAAAGATTAGTGTCTGTCGTACTTTCTTTATCAACACTCTAAGCATCTCTCAAACATCAATCCGCTTTGCATTAACAAAAAGACTGAGCAGCGGCGTTGTGATACCTGACCAAAGGGGCAAACACGAACCACCAAACAAAATTGGTCCTGAAGTGAGGAACATCATAAGAGAACACATTCAGAAGTTCCCATGTGTAGACTCTCATTACTCACGGAATAAAAGCCAGAGGCGCTACTTGGGAAGTCATCTCAGTATCTCCAAAATGTATCAATGCTTTTATGAAGAATGTATAGAAAAGAAATTGAGTCAAGCAGAAATCCCGAAACAGTGGTTATACGCAGATATATTTAACACCGAGTTCAATCTGTCATTCAAAGAACCGGACAATGACACCTGCGATACATGCGATGAATTTCTTATCAAGTTGAAAGATGCTGGATCAGTGGAAGAGCGAAATGAATTACAAAAGAAGTATGAAGCTCATCTTCTGGATGCTGATAACCGTTACAAGTATAAACGAAAAGACAAAGAGGGAGCTAGAGCTCAACCAGGTATAAAAATGATAACTGTTGATTTACAAAAATGTCTTGCTACACCTTTGCTAAAAAATTGTCAAAGTTTCTACTCCCTCAAATTATGGACGTTTAATTACACTATTTATGATGCAACAGACAAATCTGCAGATTGCTTTGTTTGGGATGAGTCAGTGGCCGGTCGTGGAGGTAATGAGATGGCTTCATGCATGATGAGATATATCTTAGATCTTCCTAATTCGATTGAAAGGATTATAATTTGGAGCGACAATTGTCCTTCTCAAAATAGAAACCAGCAGATGATCATGTGTTATTCTTACCTACTTATGATGAAGCCTTCTTTGAAATGCATTGAGCATAAGTTTCTTTTGCGCGGACATACCCATATGGAGGCAGATACAGTACATGCAAGAATTGAAAAACAAATCAAGTCACTACCTCAGTTCCAAATATGTACACCGTGGGATTGGCAGCAGCTAATCAGGTTGTGTGGTCCTAATATAGCCGTAAAAGAAATGGAAACAGATAACTTCAAAAATTTCAATGATCTACAAGGATGTATTTTTCAGTCAAAGAAAAAAACAGTGACAAACCAAACATTTTTTGTATCAAAAGTGGTGCACATGAAATTTTTGGCGGAAACACCTGGAGTAATGCATTTCAAAACAAAATTCTGTCAAGAAAATTTCGAACAGATCGACTACCATAGAGTTAATCGCAGATCAACACGACAATTGAATAATCCCAGTACATCCAGTTTGCCCACGCTGCTGCCCATAAGAAATGATCCAAAACCAATTTCCACAAAAAAATACACTGATTTGCAAAAACTATTGAAATGGGTGCCGCAGCGCTTCCATGGTTATTATAAAAATCTTCGCCATGAGGCAGTTCATGAAGATGACTAGATGGTTGAATATTTGCATAGAGTGCATTATTATAATTAAATTTTACTATTAAAGTTAGTATTAATGAGTCTATGTAATGAGAACCCAAATAAACGTTATTTTTTTCTATTTTCAATTATTTCTTTATTGCTGTACAGGACTTTGTCATCAAATGTACAACATTGACTGAGAGCCACACTGTATTAAGTCGCTGATTCAGGTATTTAGTCACAAGATATTATGTCCATTCTCAGAACCATACAATATTTTGTCCACAAGTTGTGTTTCAATCAAAATTTTTAAATAAAAGGGTGTATTTTCACAACTGCTTGTGATACCTTTCAACCAACATTGACTGGAGCCAGCAAAATACATTTTAGCATCATACCTGGGACATCGTCCATAGCGTATTCTACAATCTAAATTCTTCAGATTGCTATACTGTAAAATTTATAAAGTGTGACTTAATACTGTTTAGTTCTGACGTCCAGATTTTGGTATATTTGCAACCAAACTAGTCCAGCATATTCCGGTTTACTCCTAATAAAAGGCTGTTCACATCAGCAAAACTCGACCAGTTTCTGACGTAGTATCCTAATATTTTATTTGTTGAAGAGTCCATTTAACTTATATTGTCCGACCTCAATTTACTATCAAATATTAGCCCTAGGTCTTTCAATGTCTGGGATCTCTCAAGATTAAACAAATAAGTCTATGTACTTTTTCACGTTGGTCGATTCATGGTTTTGATTTAAAACGGGTAATTAGAATTTTCTCAGTAAAAACCGAATGCCGTTATCTTCATCAGTTATAAAGTTTTTTTGCAAGTTTATGACCCTAGCACTCTTTACGTAATATTCAAATCATCTTATTATTAAAATACACACTTTTCGACATACAATTTAAAAAATGTAACAATTTTATGCGAGTTTGTTTTTTGTCTACCTGGGACCAGTGCGTTAATTGAGAGGTTATAATATTAATAACTATTGGTGTTCTGAAAAATCGCAGTTGAAGGTATCTACTCTGGAAGTCTACACAAACTTTAATGATACTTGCATTGAAATGTTCCATTTTCTAAAGGGTTAAACCACAGTTCCCAAAGGTACGACTGGTACCAAAATGAAGATCCGAATGGTCAAGCTAGCACGTCATAGGAAAATTAACTTTTAAATATTTCTGTGCATATTTTTTTTTATATTTTGTTATATTGCTGCTGTATCTGTATTATAATAAAACACAAATAACCTTTATTTTGCGAGAATATTTTTTGATAGCAGGTCGCAGCCATTGTTTAAAAAAAATGAAAATGACAAAAAGTAGAAAGCAGAAAAAAAGAGAAGATTGCCAGAAAAGTGACAAAAAAGTATATGACCTCGAAAAAAAATAATAACATACATTAATTATCATACAATTGTATGTGATTCAAGACTTTTGTATTCAAGAATCTTTTTTTTAAATAGTTGCAATAATAAACCATTGAAATTCACAAATATATTCTTACAAGGTTAAATACTGAAACCAATGGCAGTAGGGTATTTGCTGACACTATGTGAGCAACGAATGGTTTCATTTCTCGATTTGCTACGCAATGACCAAAGATAAGTCAACAAATTGTCACAATCACATGAATATATTCGTGAGCTTAAAGGTAAATGTGACCAAGTCAAAATTTGCCATTTTTCTGTTTTTGTTGTCAAATTACTCAAAAATAAAATTCTTTTGTCTGGAAAAACTGACTAAGTCTTCCATGCTACAGGAACAGGTGCATTAAATAATGTTCTTAATGACCAAGTTTCCAAAGGTGAAAATTGGCATTAGCTCAAATTGATCATCTATACTCAGTCACTTTTAGTTATAACACATCGGGATTTCAATGTGGCCAAGTAGACATGATCACTTTAACCAGACGTGCATTGAAAAATTGACACATGACATTGATATACTTAGTCATTCGTGTACTGTGCAGTTCTTGTTTATGTTTTGCGCTGTGCGTTAGTTACTGATTTCTGTGAATTAAAATATTAGATAATACGAGTGCTAGATCTCGATATATTGCCAATTTGGCATTACAAAAATCAACTACAGTGGTTCATATTGATGCCGAAGGTAAGTTTCAAATCGGTATAAGTAGGTTTTTATATTTTATAGGTTAGGTCAGTGAACAATTCCAAAAAATGTAACTTTCAAGTAAAATTCTTTAATTCTAGTGCCTGTATAATGGATTAAGAAGCAACATTGAAGAAATGCCAAATATAGATAATGTTTTGCTTCATTCGAGTCAATTTACTAAACCCACCATAACATCAGAGGATGCATCTGTGAATATAGATGTTTCGACTTGTGACGAAGAGGACGATGAGGACAACCATGCACTTACTACAACTAAACAAAAAGCCAGATGGAGAAAACGATACCCTGATCAGTGGAAAAGGGCCATAAATAAAAAGAAAAGGTCTTTGAGTGAACCTTATCAAATCCACAAATTTAGTTCGGAAGATAGGCGAAAATTTTGTTCCAACTACTGGCAATTAGATTATAATAGACAAAAAGATTACATCTTGGCTTGTGTGAAACCATTTAAACCTAAATGTAGAAAGCCTCGCACTGAAACAAGACCTCCAAAACTAGCTAGCAGATCATATATTTTTAAAAAAGATGCACAAGAAATCCGTGTCTGCAAAAAGTTTTTTCTAAACACTCTAAGCATAAGTCAAGGACCCGTTGACCATGCCTTGGCTGGAGTAAATGAATATGGCTTATTTCACTTACCAGACAGACGGGGTTGCAAAGCACCAGGAAATAAAACCCCCCCTAGAGCTAGAAGAAAAAGTTATGCACCATATCGAAAGTTTCCCTACTCTTGAATCCCATTACTGCATCACTATAGAGGACTACCAAGAACACATACGTCGACGCGATGAAGCAAATGCTGCCAAGATGCACGATAAGTTACGATCCTCAAACGATAAGCATTTTGTTAGTATAATTTTCGATTTGCAAAGTCTTTCGCATATACCTTTTTCTGATGTATCCCAGTTTTATTACAGTATGAAATTTTATATATATATATATATATATATATATATATATATATATATATATACAAATATATATTTACATCTCCATGTGGATCGGTAATCCTTTCAATTCCCAGCAATAAGTCACCTACCAGAAATATCGAATATATATCAAATTTGATTCGTGTATATCCAACAAAAAGGCAAACTGATCCAGGATCAGCTCAAAAAACTGTACATTAACATTTCGGATTTTCATATAAAGTCCGCTATATAGGTCTACCTTTTAAAAACCGTAAGATGTGTCCTCTACCGGAATACCCTTCAGATCACAAAACGGCATTCGGTCCCCCAGAATACTCAAATTAACTAAACACCAGTAGATAAGTCATCCGTGCAGTGGTGCCAAGTTTCATTTATTTCTCTTTACATAATACTACTGAAGTCTCCTAACTTGGACTTGTATTATTATATTATTTTTCAAGGATCTCCAATGGATATAACCAAAATTCTTTCCAGCAACTTTGAGTACACTATTTGCTCGATTAAGACTATACAAAACGTTGCTAGCATACGACAGAAGGATGCCCAACGTTTCGTAAATTATAACTTACCTATGCAAAAATTATCAGATCATCGAGCAGCCCACACAATCAAGAATACTTTTTTCTATTACATGTCCAGGAGGTTGTATGAACTTTCAGATCGAGCACTTTGCTTTTCCAATAGCCTATGTCGTATCGACGACATCCTAATGATGATAAGCTTTAGACGCGTAATTTCCAAATCTGTGATATTAGCAGTTGAAATACTTCCCTGCCCTCCGGTTCGCAAAAAACAGCATTGAGTATCCTAAAATACTTGAATTACCTAATCACTATACTGAGCCTTACAATCATGTGACGTTATCTTTGGATAAGGAAATCACCATTCATGTTTGGTACCATCTATCTATGAGAATATTCCTAATCTTGAAATAAAATCGTATATCAACGATTTTCTCTAATAGCTCAGACTTAACCATATAGTCACGCCAACCAAAAGCCATATGATACAATCGTCCATCAAAATACCTTCGGATTCACAAAAAAACAGCACTGAGTCTCCCAAAATACTTGAATTTACTAAACCCTGCTAGATCGGTCTTCCGTGCAGAATAAATACACTTCTACCCTACGATTCACAAGAAACCAGCACTGAGTCTCCCAAAATACTTGAATTTACTAAACACTGCTAGATCGGTCTTCCATGCAGAATACTCTTCTACCATACGATTCACAAGAAACCAGCACTGAGTCTCCCAAAATACTCGAATTAACTAAACACTGGTGGATCAATCTCCCATGAAGAATACTCTTCAATACGCAAACCAGTGCTGAGTCCTCCACAATACCCGAACTAGCTGAATGGCGTACGTCTGACGTCAGATCGGTCTCCCGATCATTTTAATTCCAGTCAATAAAGCGCGTGCGCCCGGGGATAGGGTTTGTCGGTTTGTCTAAGATCTGAGAATTCATTTTATTGGCACCAATCGTGCTGGAAGGACGTTCAAATCTGTTGTGTATTCAAGAGTGTGTCTGAAAGGACTGTTGAGGTAAGTATGACTTTTTGAACTCTTATGCAATCGTTAATAGGATATGATGGTAATATGACTGTATTACTTACATTTAATGGAAAAGCAATGAATATTGAGTAGCGTGAAGGATAAAACAATGCTGTTCAAAAGGTCAACCCCCATAAATTTTACGCCAAACTTTATCTAATCTTGTTGGTTTAGTTTTGTATAGGTGATTCTTGAATGTAAAGCTACAATGTTTTTTTTTTCAAGTTAAAGAACAGGGTCAAGTAGATTGAGTGTGACCATACATCACTGAAAATTTAAAAATAGAATACTTCAATCAAAGCTCATTTTGGCTTTTTTCTAGCTGCTGCTTTACATCTTTTTTAGGGTACATACCTGTATATGTACTGATTCCGTTTTTTGCATTATAATACAAAATC